AGCAATTGGAAAAGGAAGAACATTCCAACTGCAAACCAAGCAGAAGAAATAAAATAACCAAACTTAGGGCAGCATTAACTGAAATTGAAAACAAAAGAATCATTCAAAAAATCAAAAAGTTGATTTTCTGAAAAGTTTAACCAAATTGATAAACCTATGGCTAACCTAACCAGAAATAGAAAAGTAAAATCTCTTATTCGTCAACCAGAAATGATAAAGGAGAAATAACAACAGACAATTCAGCAATTGAAAAAAATCCTTAATGAACACTATAAAAAACTCTATTCTCAGAAATATGAAAATCTGAAGGAAATGAACCAATACCTGGAAGCATGCCACCTTCCTCAATTCAGCCAGAAAGATTTAAAAATTTTGAATAGACATATATCAGTCACTTAAATATCATCAGCTATATGAAATCTGCCAAAAAAGAAAAGTCTGAGACCAGATGGCTTCACATCAGAATTCTACTAAACCTTTAAGGAGGAACTGGCACCTATATTATATAACCTTTTCCAAAACATAGAAAAAGAAGGAATACTTCCCAACACATTCTCTGAAGCAAATATCACCCTGATTCCCAAACCAGGAAAGGACCCAAGAAAGAAAGAAAATTATACACCAATATGATTAATGAATATTGATGCAAGATTCTCAGTAAGATCCTAGCAAACACAATACAACAACACAACAAAAAAAAAGTTAAGCACCATGATCAAGCTGGTTTTATCCCAGAGTTACAAGGTTGGTTCAACATATGTAAATCTATAAATAAAATATATCACATAAACAAAATAAAAATCAAAGACCATATGATAATTTCAATTGATGCAGAAAAAGCTTTTGATAATATCTAGCATCCTTTCATGATCAGAACCCTTAAGAAAATAGGCTTAGATGGGACATTTCTTAAACTGATAGAGACTTTCTACAGCAAACCCACAGTCAATACCATATTGAATGGAGTAAAATTGAAAATATTTCCACTCAGATCCAGAACTAGACAAGGATGCCCTTTGTCTCCATTGCTATTCAACACAGTAATGGAAATCTTAGCCATCACAATCAAGCAAGAAAAGACAATTAAGTGTATACAGATAGGGTCAAAGGAGATCAAATGGTCCCTCTTTGCAAATGACATGATCTTATACCTGGAAAACCCCAGGGACTCAACTACAAAACTCCTAGAAGGGATCAAAGAATACAGCAGTGTCTCAGGATACAATATCAATACTTACAAATCAGTAGCTTTTATATATACCAACAATAGTCAAGCTGAAAATATAGTCAAGGACTCTTTTATAGTAGTGCTGAAGAAGATGAACTATCTGGGAATTTACCTAACAAAGGATGTCAAAGATCTCTATAAAGAGAATTATGAAACTCTGAGAAAAGAAATAACAGATGTTAACAAATGGAAAACCATACCATGCTCATGGCTGGGAAGAACCAACTTTGTTAAAATGTCCTTACTACCCAAATGAATCTACAGAATTAATACAATCCCTATTAAAGCACTGCTTTAAAGAGCTTGAAAAAATAGTATTTTGCTTTATATAGTATCCAAAAAAAGCTTGAATAGCCAATACATTATTCAGAAATAAAAACAAATCAGGAGGCATCATGTTACCAGACTTCAGGCTATTCTATAAATCTATAGTGATCAAAACAGCATAGTACTGGCACAAAAATAGAGAGTTAAATATGTGAAACAGAGTATACAACTGAGAGATGTACCCAGCCACTTACTGTCATTTGATCTTTGATAAGCCTATTAAAAGCATTAATTGGGAGAAGATTCCCTATTTAACAAATGGTGCTGGGTGAACTGGCTGGCAACCTGTAGAAGACTAAAACTGGACCCTCACCTTTCATTAACAAAAATTGATTCTCACTGGATAAAAGATTTAACCTTAAGACAGGAAACTATAAAAATACTAGAAGAGAGTGCAAGGAAGGTACTTGAAGAAATTGGCCTGCAAGAATATTGTATGAGGAGGACCCCCTTGGCAATTGAAACAACACCAAATATACATTACTGGGATCTAATCAAACTAAACAGTTTCTGCACAGCCAAGAACACAGTAAGTACAGCAAGCAGACAGCTTTCAGAATGGGAGAAGGTATTTGCAGGGTATATTTCTGACAAGAGTCTGATAACTAGAATCCACAGAGAACTCAAACTAATCAATAAGAAAAGAACAAGTAACCCCATTTCCTTGTGGGCAAGAGACTTGAACAGAAGATTCTCTGAAGAAGACAGGCTCATCATGGTCTACAAACACATGAAAAAATGCTCATGATCTTTAATCATTAGAGAAATGTAAATCAAAACTACTTTTAAAATATCATCAACTCCAATAAGATAAGCCCCATATCACAAAATCCCAAAACTTCAGATGTTAGCATGGATGTGGAGAGAAGGGAATACTTCTACTCTACTGGTGGGAATGCAAGCTAATACATCCTTTTTTGGAAAGAAGTTTGGAGAATACTCAAGAAACTAAAAGTAGACCTGCCATTTGATCCTGCAATTCCTCTACTAGGTATATACCCAGATAATCAAAAATCGTTTTACAGCAAAGACATTTGCACCAGAATTTTCATTGTAGACCAATTCATAATTGCCAAGTCATGGAAGTAGCCTAAGTGCCCATCGACTCATGAATGGATTAACAAATTATGGTATATGTATACCATGGAATACTATGCAGCCATAAAAAGGATGGAGACTTCACATCTTTTATGTTTACTTGGATGGAGCTGGAACATATTCTTCTTAGTAAAGTATCTCAAGAATGGAAGAAAAAGTATCCAATGTACTCAATACTATTATGAAACCATATGAAACTATAGTCCAGAAAGAAAGAAGGAAGAAGAAGGAGAGGGGAGGGGCAGGGGGAGGCCAGGAGGAGGCAGAGTATTTGGTTGGACCTCATCTATTGTGCATAATATAATGGTACATTTTAAACTATTAAGGGTATAAATGTCTTACCACAACAAATAAGTAAGTGAGGTGTTGGTTATGTTAACAAGTTTGATGTAAGCTTTGTACATTATATAACAAATTATCACATTGTACCCCATAAGTGCATTAATGTACATAGATATGATTTAATAAAAAATTAAAATAAAAAAGGAATGGAAAAGCAAGCATCTAACCTACTTGATAATAATATGAAACCAATATATAAACAATTACATGCCCACACAAAAGAAAAATACAAGTATATTTTAGTGAGAGGGAGAGCAAGAAAGATGGATGGAAAGGGAAAAGGGGAAGAGGGAGGGTGACTGTCAAGTTCCCATCTAATGGGCACTATATATGGGTGAAGGTCTCAACTAACAATTTGAACTTTACCTTAGAAGTGAAAACAGCATAACCTAAACATTTGTACTCTTATATAAATATGAAATAAAAATAATAATAATGATTAACTAATTTACAAATTTTAAATACATAATAATGAGATGGAATGTGTTTGTTTTAATAGCATGCTAACTCAAACCAATAAATATGACATTTTTGAGATGATTTAGGAAACATAAATATTGAATAAAAATATTAAAAATATAATATAATATTAAATATTAAACTTAAATATTAAACATCTAGGTATTAAGAGATGCCAAGACTTAATGTTATTTGTTTTAGGCATGATAATGGCATTACAGTTGTGAAAGAAAATAACCGTCTTTTGCAGAGATGCATACTGACATAATATCTGAAATTTACTTTAAAATATTTCTTCCCAAAATAGAGTTGCTCTTAACTAAAAGATCAAGAAGTGATCTTAAATAAAACACATAAGGCAAGTATGGTCAAGTCTTACTTACTGAAGCTGGGTAGTAGATAAGTGACATTCATTTTGCTCTAGTCTCCACTTTCGTATATATTTGACATTTTTCATAGTATTAAAGAAGACTCAAGAGAAAGATGCTCTGGGAAAAGATTTTCCCACCACAATCAAGCTGCACATGACTTTCCATTCTTTGTTTCAAGTTGGCCTATGAGATCTGACCATGCCAGGCCAATCTCTCTTAATACTCCTTAAGATTTATGAGCACTTACTATGAAAACAAAGGTGGTGCTGCTGATGTAAATGGAAATGCAGGTAGAGAAATAAATATTTGAATCAATTAATGGCAAAGGAAGTATCATCCCAGTGGGTCTAGTGATATACAATTCTCTATTGCTAGTGAAGAAATAATGTATTTAAAACTATTTTTTTTGTATGCTGTAAATACTTTGTCAGCTTGATCAACATACAGAATGACACATTTCTGATATGATGAAAAGAACTCATCAAATCTAATTTTGAGAGCAAAACAAAATTACAATCACTGTTTCCTCTTTCAATAGTTATATCTACATTAGAAGTTTGATATCAATGATAAATGCCACTTGTAGAGAGCTGTCCAAAACGCTGTCATTCAATTCCAAGTCTTAACTAGAGACTGTATTGACCCCATCTGCACATTTCCTGATGTTATTCAGTGTCCTTCTTTCTTTGTGTGTGTGTGTGTGTGTGTGTATGTGTGTGTGTGTGTGTGTTAGGGGAATGCAGGTGTAGAAATGCTTTTAGCTAAGAATGACATGATCTCAGCTTTTCAATGAAGGCTAAGAAAATCAAACAATTTTAATAATTGGGAAGATAGATATAAATTTCGCTGTACTAAAACTGTAAAACTGAATATGACATATGAGGTGGTGATTCTCTAATAACGTAAATTACTTTTTATGCTGTTTTATGTGTCAAGAAGCATTTTTACATACATTTCCCCACTGGATCTTAATTTCCACTCCGTGTAGGCAAGGCTTTATAAAGTTAAGCTCTACTTTACAAAGAAATTGAGGCTCAGAGGGACATGATGATGACTTGCTCAAGGTGACACAATTACTGGAATGGTGGCAAGAGTACTGATATATAATCAATAAATTACACAGAATAAAATGGAACAATTGTAGCTAAAATGTAGACATGCTAAGTCCTATTTACCTTTCAAAGCCGATCTGGCGAAATGTCTTTTCCCACGTTGAGCCTGCAGTGGAAGAGAGAAACTCATCAGGACACATTCAGGAGTCAGAGTTGTGTCTTCCTGTTGCAGACACGTGCTAGACACTGGGCTTTACATTTAAGTGAGATGACTTGGTTTTCCCTTAAAAGTATTACTCCCCACCTCTGGTCTCCAGATGGCTCCTTTTAGAGAACAAATAATTTAATGAAAATTCTGTGTTTACCATAGATGAATGCATATAAGGATTTAAGTGCATATAGCCTGCAATGTGACAAAGCTGTCACCCCAATTTGCTCTAGTAAAGTAGTAGGCCACCTTGTTCATTCTCTAAAAATATGTGTTCAGCTCACGATATAAATAAAAATCTGTCAAAAATAACAAAACAGGCTGGGTGCCTGTAGTTCAGTGGTTAGGGTGCTAGACACATGCACTGGGGCTGGTGGGTTCGAAGCCAGGCTAGGCCTGCTAAACAAAACAAAACAAAACAGAAAAGAAATGAAACAGTGTATATTACTCTAAAATTCAAGTTTTAATTTTGGAGAGCAATTCTGAAAGCTAGGCGACACTCTGAAGTTAAAACTTACATACACTATGCCTTTGTCTTATCAAAGCTGAAGTGTGGGATTAACATTCCTCGCTTTTAAAGCTAAACGTTTTTTAATCAGAAGAATGCAAAAGTGCTGTTCCAAGTGACACAAAGAACAGTATATCCAAATCCACAAAAGATTTGGATCTAAAAAAGATTTTCTGTAAATTTTTCATGTAAAAAATTGTCAATTAAATAATGTAATAATTTTCTTAGCACTTCATATAAGGAAAAGTACTATTTTTTATCAAAGAACATTTTAATAAAAATTCTACATTTACTAAGGTTAAAGAACCCATAGTTCTTTTACATTTTCCTGATGCTTAGTCTGTGGCAAAAATATTTTGTTCTTAGTAATTATTGCAAATAAATACCCACCTAATCCTAAATTTATAAGTTGTGCTGTGTATAGGTTGCTTGCTATCATAGCAGATAGTTATCAATAATTACTGCTTTTCCATAAAAATTAATTCTGCAAATAGGAAATGGTATATTCAGCACTAAGTTTCCAGAGGCAGCTAGAAAGCTTCCTTTCTAAAATCAAAATAAACTCAAGTGCTTAGGTTTCTATCTGGAGAACTCCACCTTAGATTTTTTATTTTCAGGTGGTCACTCTGTGTCTCCCAGGCATTAGACAGACTTCCTGGAAAGGCAGGAGGTGACACAGCAGAGGGAAGACCCAGGGTCAAGTCTCTGGCCCTCTCAGGACTGAACTAGCCATGAGAGAACATGAACATGGTGCTTCACCCAGAGATTTGGGTGATTTGGGTTCATATTAGTCAACCATGATAAATTGTTGTAAATAATTTTTATAAATAATAAAGGACTACATTTTAGATGTGGATTATATGTACAAACACATATACATTTAAAGAAAATTCGGGCTTATTCAGACTTTGAATGAAGTCTCTCTTATCCAGCTGAATTCTAATACACTTTCCTGAATAGGAGTAAAAAAACATAGACTTTTAGCTAACCAGCCCAGGGATTTGTCTTGGCCCTTGGAGGAGGAGAGTGGGACTGAAAAGATACGTGAATATCTTCTGTCCTTTGAGTCACACGCAAAACAATTAAGAATCATCTCAGGAATTCTTTTTTAAAATTATTTTTAACTGATACATAATAACTGTACATACTTATGGGACACTGTATGATATTTTGATATGCATATGCAATGTATAATTCTTTGAAGATAATTATCCTGCCTCTGAAGGCAGGCAATTCAGATATGGCAAAGAACATGTAAACTGTCAAATGGAAGCCAGGGTTGCTATTGACTGCCTGATTCAAACTAAGAAGGAGAATAAATTAAGAATCTCCTGCTGAAGCGAGAACCAAATAGATATAGACCAATTGGGAGGGTCTTCTCTGGAGGAGGGAAGGGCTGGGTAGGAGTGGCTGAGATGTTACTCTTCTTCACTTCCCTTGCTTCCAGAGAGCAAAGCACTTTTTATGTTTCCACATTTCCATTGTTTTCCCCAAAATTCTCAGTACATGTGAATCTTTCTAAATGTCTAGGAATATAAATATCTTAACACAATAACTAAGAAAATGCCATGAAGGCTATGTTAACAAGTTTGGTGAAAATATTTCAAATTGTATATAAAACCAGCACACTGTACCCCATGACTGCATTAATGTACACAGCTATGATTTAATAAAATAAAAAAAATGTTAAGAAAATTATTTTCATAATAGATTCAATTTATTATCAAGGTAAAATTTTAAAAATAAATTATTCTTTTATGCTATTCTTTCTGCATTTTTGAACAGAGCTTTAATTAAAATTTAGGCCCCATCTTCCTATTTCTCAGAAATGTAAACTTGTTTAAACAGGTAGAACAAGTTAAAAGATTTTAGTGAAAAACTTTTAATATTCCTTGGAATAAATAATATTAACTTAGCCAAGCACAATGGCTCAATTCTTTTTTTCTTTTCTTTTTTTTTAAGCTCATCCTCTTTCTTGCTATTGATACTTTCTTAGTCATCTTAATTATGCTAGGTATAGGATGGGATAAATTAAAATAGGTTTTCTTCCCTCCAATTCCACATACCCTGGAGGTTTGAATTTCTATGTCTTCTGTGAGCATTTAGTCATAATGGAACAAGAAACACACAATAAATGGAATAGACATATTCAGATCTTTTGGCACTAGGAATATTTTTGGCAGCCCATTATTCAGTTGCTGGGGAATTCGTTTAAAGTCATTAAATATGCTTTACATGGTAAGGTAATATTATTCTCCTTTGCCAAAGCAGTCTAACCTGGAGAAAAAAAAGTAGTTGGCAGACTACCTTAATTCAACACTTTTAAAATAAGCTTTATAATATAGAGAGGTCTAAAACATTTTTACATTTTTCAGGAAAAACCAAACAATAGCAAAAATAAGAAAAAGGAAAATCTATAGCATAGAGAAATGGATATATGGTTGTCTGTTGGTATCTGTGGTATCCAGGACCCGGTGGATAGCAAAATCTACAGATACTCAAGCCCCTCACATAAAATAGTGTATTATTTACAACAATCTACACACATTCTCTCACATACTTCAGATCATCTCTAGATTACCTACAATACCAAAAGTGTATGACATTTTCTCCCTGAATAAATGCAATTGCTCCTTTGCAAATGAATAAAAGCTCTTCTTAGCCATTCTTGTTCTTCCTCCTTCTTAAACCCTATCTACCTATCAACAACTGTTGGTTCCATTTTCCTGTCTTGATAATGGTGGCTTCCTTTCTTTGTGGAAGGCAATGAGTTGCTCCTGGTGGGTCTCCCAACTGTCTTACCTCTGCCTCTCTGGATATTGAGGTAGAGGTAGGCCACAGATCTGGCCAGACATCCCAGCGCTCAATAGTCCCAACCATAGTGGACCAGGGCAGACACAACGATCAGCTGTTATTGTGCCAAAATGGAATCTTTACCTTTATCTTCCACCTAACTAGTAATGAAACTATCTTTCCTCAGCTATCAGAGAATCAGAAACAGTAAGCCCAGGCCTAGCCAGAGCCATGTTGGCAGCCACATGTAGAAAACCTGTGTGTGCTGCTGGTGGGATTGCAAACTAATACTTCCCTTTTGGAAAGTCATCTGGAGAACACTTAGAGAACTAAAAATAGACCTGGCATTTGATCCTATAATTCCTCTACTAGGTATATATCAAGAAGCCCAAAAATCACACTACAATAAAGATATTTGTACCAGAATGTTCACTGTAGCCCAATTCATAATTGCTAGGTCATGGAAGAAGCCCAAGTGCCCATCGACCCATGAATGGATCAATAAATTGTGGTATATGTACACCATGGAATACTATGCAGCCATAAATAAAGATGGAGACTTTACCTCTTTCATGTTTACATGGATGGAGCTAGAGAATATTCTTCTTAGTAAAGTATCTCAAGAATGGAAGAAAAAGTATCCAGTGTACTCAATCCTATTATGAAACTAAATTATAGCTTTCATAGGAAAGCTATAACCCAATTTTAGCCCAAGAATATAGGGGAAGGGTAGGGGGAGTAGAGGGGAAGGGGGTAGGATGGGTGGAGGGAGGGTGATTGGTGGGATCACATCTATGGTTTATCCTATGGGGGTACATGTCTTTCTAAATGTAGAATATAAATGTCTTAACACAGTAACTAAGAAAATGACATGAAGGCTATGTTAACCAGATGGATGAAAGTATTTCGAACTGTATATAGAAACAACACACTGTATCCCATGATGGTATTAATATACACAGCTATGATTTAATAAAAATTAAAAAAAAAGAATACCTGTGTGTGTACAGAGAGAAGCAGCAGCAGAGAGAGAGGTGAAGATGATGACCTGTGGCAGCCCTCTCCATGCCCAGTCATTCCTAATGCCCTCCCCTTTCTGCCCCACACCAGTTACAGGAGAGCAAAAATCACCTGTGTTGCCTGTTCTGTCAAGGCTCTGACACTCGTATCTCAAAGAGCACTCAATATGAACAATGAAAATAAGAACAATGCCTTGAACATTCAAATTTTTAGTAGTAATGAAAACATTTATAATAATTTCTACCTGTTTTTTTAACCAGATTTTAGATCAAGAGATTAGGCATTTCCCCTGAAATTAACATAGCAATAAAAACAACTAACATTTACTAATCTCCTACCAGGTACTAATTTCATATATATTCGCTAACTTAATCCTTCCAAATACTCTATGAAATCAGTACTATTATTATGTATGTATATCCTTTTCAGGTGAGAAAACTAAGGGTTGAGAGGGACTTTAGGGATAATACTCTTAAACTTCTTCACTCTTTGCTTTGTTATACATAGGGAATTGTATTCTTACCTTCCCTTCCTTCTCCTTTTTTCCTTTTATTATTCTGCTTCATATCATCTGTTTCTAGCTTTCTGCCATCTGGTTGTAATATGGAGTTCAAAAAACTTTTTTCATTACACAAAA